ATGTCTCTTCCAATTTTTATATCGGTAATCCCAGATTTAATATAAGGAACATTTAGTTCAAATGAAACCTGTTTTATGAGTGAAGATAATTCATTTTACTCACTATGAAACTTAATTACAGCATTTTTATTATTGAACCATCACAGTTCTGTGCCCAAATTGTTTACTGTTTATCAAAAAATGATGAACCTCTTAAGTGAGGTGCTATTGGGAATGGTGAAGTAGGAATAATGAAAACAGTGCATACATATTTTAAATTATTTGGAATTTTTCAATTCAGTCTTCACAAACTCTTTGGAAAATAATTTAAAATCTTTCTAAACGTGTTTGACACACAGATTTTGTAAGGAGGGGGCAGGGGAATGAAATTCAGCTACACTTAAGAAAATATTAGCAAAGCCAGTGATGTGGATGCTCAGAAGCAAGGCTGCAAATCTGGCTTTAGACCCAGTTTTCCTTCATTTTATTTTTTATAGCACGGTAAAAAAACTTTCCACATCAGAACTGAGAGTGAAACGGATATTTAAACCTCACACTGATAGGGTATTTGGGGCTAAAGCCCTATTTCAGGGTTCACAGTAACTAACATGGGTTCATTAGAGGCAGGTCCTGTCAGACCAATCTGGTGGCCTTCTATGACCAGGTCACAAAATCCTTAGATGCAGGGGTAGCAGTGGACATAGTCTTTCTGGACTTTAGGAAGGCCTTTGACACGGTCTTTCACCCCATTCTTATTAAAAAACTAGGGGACTGTAGCGTCGACACCTACACAGTTAAATGGGTCGCTAACTGGCTGGAGGGCCGCACCGAGACTGGTGGTGGATGGGTCATTTTTGACCTGGAGGGATGTGGGCAGTGGAGTCCCCCAGGGCTCAGTCTTCAGACCCGCGCTGTTCAACATCTTCATCAGTGACTTGGACAAGGGGGTAAAAAGCACCCTATTCAAATTTGCTGATGACACTAAGATGTGGGGGGAAGTGGGCATGCTAGAAGGGAGGAATAGGCTGCAATCGGACCTAGACAGGTTACAAGGGTGGGTGGATGAGAACAGGATGGGTTTCAACACTGACAAGTGCAAGGTGCTGTACCTGGGGAGGAAGAACCAGCAGCATATCTACAGGCTGGGGAACTCCCTTCTCGTCAGTGCAGAGGCAGAAAAGGATCTTGGTGTCATTATTGATGCCAAAATGAACATGGGCCGGCAGTGTGGGGACGCAGTCAGGAAGGCCAACCGCACCTTGTCATGCATCCACAGATGCATCCCAAGCAGGTCCAAGGAGGTGATCCTCCCCCCCATGCGGCACTGGTCAGGCCGCAGTTGGAGTAATGCATCCAGTTCTGGGCGCCACACTTCAGGAGAGATGTGGACAACTTGGAGCGGGTCCAGAGGGCCACTCGCATGATCAGGGGCCAGGAAGGCAGGCCCTACGAGGAGAGGCTAAGGGCCCTGAATCTGTTCAGCCTCCATAAGAGAAGGCTGAGGGGGGATCTAGTGACCTGTTACAAACTAGTCAGGGGGGACCAACAGGCATTGGGGGAGACCCTGTTCCCCTGAGCACTACCAGGAGTGACTAGAAATAACGGTCACAAGCTGGCAGAGGGTAGATTCAGACTAGACATCAGGAGGCGCTACTTCACTGTCAGGGTGGCTAGGACATGGAGACAACTTCCAAACGAAGTGGTGCTGGCTCCTACCCTGAGGGGCTTTAAGAGGAGGTTAGATGAACACCTCGCTGGGGTCATTTGACCCCAGTACTTTTTCCTGCCATGGCAGGGGGTCGGACTTGATGATCTGCTCAGGTCCCTTCCGACCCTATCAGCTATGAAACTATGAAACTTTCACATGCCCTACTGCTTTGTGGGCTCTTCAGCTTTAGGTTAAGTGCCCAAGCTCCCCTTTGTAACTGCATGAGGTGAGCTGGCATGGAAGGAACAGAAGGCAGCACGCTGGGCTAGGAGCTGCTTAGCCCAGCTAGCAGGAAACGGTAAGTTGATGGGAAGAGAGATCCCAGGGGTCTGTCTCTAAGCAGGAAAATCTGGGACAGAGCTTCCAGGTCTTGAGGGGACCCATTCCTATGCAGGAATTCTCAGGATGCACAGGATCAGGCCCCTCAAGCCCCAGGAGCACACGTTACCTGGTGTCCTGTGGCATCTGTGGGTGGGATAACAAGTGATGATTCAAACCCCATTGATAGCCTGGTGGTCAAGGCATTCTCCTCAGGGACTGGGAGGTATGGCTCTGAACCCATGAATATGAGTGAATTTACCATGTATCTCCCACTTTTGGGGGAAGTGCTCTCACCCATACTTTCTCTCCTCCAGCCACATATTCCAAGTGAGCCCTCCTCACTTCTTTGGAGGAATGGCTGTAGACATCTGCCTTTAGAAGTTGCTTCTAAGCTATGAATCCTGAGTGGATGGCAGCAGTGAATCAAGGCCACAAATTGCCTGTCTTTGGAACTTAAAAGCAGAGTTTATGGTAAATAGTTAATTGACTGGTTCTGGGCAACTCCCAGCATACTGATGTAATTGGTGTTTTGGATTAGTCTTCTGAGGTGCCCAGCTCTCCCCATGCACTGTAAAGAGAGCACACACTTATGGATCTACACACTATGGGCACATCTACACGTGAAGTTACTGTGCAGTAACTTAGGTCTGCACATGCGCGCCCATACTGTGCAGTAACTATGGTGACTTATGCCAAGTTGGGGGTAAATTTGCTACCTGCATCATGCAGGGTCCACACAAAAGCAGCAAGAGAAGATGGTGACACTTGTTGCATAATGCAGGTAGCAAATGCATGATGCAGGTAGCAATTTTATGCCCACTTAGTACTGCGCAGTCAGGCATGTCTACCCGCCTTACTGTGCTGTAACATTGCATGCGCCACAGTAACTTTACTCCCAAGTCAGATCACACATAGCATTGCTGCGCAGTAACACCTACACATGTAGATGCCGGTCTAAAAGCCACTTAATGCACAGTAAATGCATGTGTAGACACAACCTATGTGGGGGACAGTAACTTAGAAGACAGAGACTATAGTAGTAAAGTTCTTTTCTGAATCTAGCTTTGATTTCCAAAAGGTGTTAGTGTTGCAGCATGTAATACTGCAGTACCTAACTTTTCAGTGCCTTGCCACTGTTGTGGCATCCACAGCCCTGGGTTCATTTCACCTTGGCTCCCTATAGAGTGTATAGGAGGAGTCAGGCACCTCATAAAGGGTATCTATGCTCCAAGCAATATTCATAGATTTACTATGAAAGTCTTTGGAAAAGACAGCAATTGGAGCAGGGACTGGAGTGCAAGTCTCACCACCTTCTTTTGTGTTCCTAACCATGCACACACAACCTTTATTCCATGCAAAATAGAACAAATTCAGTAGCAGAGGGGCTTTGAACAGGAAATTAAACTGTGGTCCCCTGCTGCATAAGGCAAGTGCTACAAGCATTTAAACTACTGGATTTGATGGGCCAGTTATAGCAACAGGCACCACCATCTTCTCTTGCTGCTTTTGTGTAGACCCCAATCAGGTAAGCATACTCCAGCAATGCTTACTGAATTGTGCTTTGCAGGCAAAGGGGCAGTGAAAACACCTAATAATCACACATTTCGATGGACCATCAGGTAGGGCTCTCATTTTTTAGCATTGTCAAACCCGAGATGCTTCTGGTCCTGCACAGAAGCAGGTTCTAAGGCTCCGAAGGACTTTAAAAGGCAAAAAGTGAGGTACTTCAGGATTTCAAACACTTCTAGAGTTGTGGGGGAGGAAGATGGGTTGAAGGCTGGCAACAGGTGCCCAAGTCATTTTATGGATTTAGTCTGGCAATCTTCCTCACAATTCTGCCCACTATTCTTTATGGTAGGTACTGCCTTAAGGGAAAACCACATCCTATTAAGAAAAGCAACCAGTGTCCACTAAAAACTGGTGTGGTGTGTAGTTGTGCTACAGGAACAGACAGGAGCTGTTTTCCACTAGCTTTTTATTTAGTTTTCAAGCAGTTTTTTCAAGACTGTTGATTTAGGTATTTAGTTGGGTAACCTATGAGGTAGGAAGACTGCTGCAATTAACTCTTGGTGGAAAATAGTATTTATATAAAAGAGACTGGATTGAATAAAAGAAGACCCAAACATGTAAGCAGCTCCAAAGTAAGCATTGTACTGGGGGTAAGACAAACTTGCAAGAGTTCTGATGTTAAGGAGAAGAATGACACATCACCTTTACTTTCCTCTCTCACAAAAGAAGGTGAGGGAGGAGAAAAGACACCGAGTGAGCATAGGGCTGTTTTTGCCACCCTCCCACATTACTTTCCTAAAATAACTGGAGGCAGAGAGCTGAATTATTAGGTCCTGTCTGGAAACTGGTCATATTTCATCTTCAGCTTCATGATGCGTCCCCTTTCAGCAATGTCACACCAACACTCCGGGTTGAGAAAAGAGGTCATCAGTATGTCTCCCTTTTTGTCAAAATCATTTTATTAAAGAGTTAGTGTCACACCAGGCCAAGAAACACATGCTTCTGAAATAAGTTTGATGACAAATGTTCTGAACAGAAAACTGAAGGCATTAGAGGCATGTAATAAGCAGTAGTGGTACCAAACTTTTGCTGTGCATGTGCAAATTCTATTGGTGCAATGGAAAATTCAGAAAGAATGCAGTCTGGCAGTATTTTTGGTCTTGTGTAGTACAGTTTGTCTAATAATTTAAATCAGAGAGAGCATGAATACCACAGCTCTAGAGACCCAAATATAATCTTTCAGTAGTTAGCCCCAGCAGGAATTTTTCACTATGAATACTAACAAAACAAATTTAGTTGACATCTCAACACAGCAGTAATATATATACAATAGTTATTGGACTCATGCAGCTTCTTTCATTACATGATTTTTTTTTTGATTTACACCAGAAACATTATAAAAAAATAGGTCTGTAATTTGTGTTTCACTCTAGCATTAGCTCTGTA